CAAGCTGGGTAGAGTGCCGGTGACATCAAAGCTCACAGCAACCTCCAACTCCTGGGCTCAAGCGAGTCTTCTGCCTCCACCTCCCAAGTAGCTGGGACCACAGGCGCCCGCCACAACGCCTGGCTATTTTTAGTTGCAGCCATCGTTGTTGTTTGGCGGCCTGGGCTGGATTTGAACCTGCCACCTTAGGTGTATGTGGCTGATACCTTAGCCACTTGAGCCACAGGCGCCGAACCTATTTATTTATTTTTTAAAATTTTTTTTTTTTTTTTTTGCAGTTTTTGGCCAGGGCTAGGTTTGAACCCACTACCTCTGGTATATGGGGCCAGCGCCCTACTCCTTTGAGCCACAGGCACCATCCCGGAGTAGATTATTTTTAAATATACATGTGCATGGAAAAAATTCTTGGTTTTAGGCTGGGCATGATAGCTCATCCCTGTAATCCTAGCACTCTTGGAGGCCGAGGTGGGTAGATTGCCTGAGCTTAGGAGTTTGAGACCAGCCTTAGGAAGAACAAGACCCTGTCTCTAAAAATAGCTGGGCATTGTGGCAGGCGCCTATAGTCCCAGCTACTTGGAAGGCTGAGGCAAGAGGATCTCTTGAGCCCAAGAGTTTGAGGTTGCTGTGAGCTGTGATGCCATGGCACTGTAGAGGGCAGCAAAGTGAAACTCTCTCTCTTAAAAAAAAAATTCTTGGTTTCACTTGATCCATCCTAGAGCTAGGCCTCTCTTTAAGCAGTAGCAAACAGAAATGTTGTTTAATTCAATTTGCCAAAGGATTGATTGTCCTTCAAATAGCATTTCCTTAAAATCACCTATTTGGGCTCAGCGCCTGTGGCTCAAGTGGCTAAGGCGCCAGCTACATACACCTAAGGTGGCGGGTTTGAATCCAGCCCGGGCCCGCCAAGCAACAATGATGGCTGCAACCAAAAAATAGCCGGCGTTATGACAGGTGCCTGTGGTCCCAGCTACTTGGGAGGCTGAGGCAGGAGACTTGCTTGAGCCCAGGAGTTGGAGGTTGCTGTGAGCTTTCATCCATAGCACTCTACCCAGGGGGACAGCTTGAGGCTCTGTCTCAAAAAAAAAAAATCACTTATTTGTCTTATACTTGACATGAGTTTTATACTCTACTCAATAATATATGCATGTATATTATAATATAAAAATGTTTACATTATTTACCATTAAGTCAGACTGATGCTCTAGGAAGGTACTCTTTCTCTCAATGTGCACACGTACACACATACACACACCCTCCCACGCACTTAGAGACTTTAAGACTTCTAGATATAACATTACATTGTCTAGTTTGAGCCACTTTAAGACTGTGGGGTATAATAAGACTATATTGTCCTTTGAGAGTTTAAGACTTTTGGTACAAAGTGTGGTTAAGGATCAGCTGTTTTATTATGTATAAATTATATTTAAAATGTTCAAAAGAGGAAACATTATTCAGCTTCTTTAAGAAACATTATCTTTTTATGCAATGTAATCTTTAAATGTTCTTCATAAAGAACTTCAAAGTATTTTCGATAGAAACAGAAATCTTCAATGAAGAGGGAATGAATGATTTTCCATGTAATCATTGGGCAGTGACATTCTTATCATAACATCAGTGGCCAAAGTATGCTGTGTGCTACTAAAGTGGTAGTTTATCTTATTTGAGTTGATTTTCCATGTAATCATTGGGCAGTGACATTCTGATCATAACTGTGGTGGCCTCCAAGTATCCCTTCCCTGTGAGCTACTAAAGTGGTAGTTTATCCTATTCGAGTTGATCTTGGAAGCCTGATGATTTGGGAAGATCACTGGCTCTGTGATTTTATGCTAGTCATTTATATGCTCTGGAAATCATTTTCTTTATCCATAAAATGAAGGAGTCAAATAAAATGGTATCCAACTTTGATATCATTTGAAAGTAGAAAAGAGGAATTAAGTTCTTTTCTAGACTTGGCTTAACAAAATTATAAAATAAAACTTAAAATTTTGAAGGCCACTTTGGGCTGGGAGGTGTGTGTATGTGTGTGTGTGTGTGCGCGTGCATGCATGTGTTTCAGGCAGGTATTTCAAAGACCTTCCTAATCCCAGCTCTTCTGGAGGCCAAGGATAGAGGATGGCTTGAGCTTAGGACTTTGAGATTACAGTGAGCTATGATCACACCACTGCACTCCAGCCCGGGTGGCAGAATGAGGCCCTGGCTCCAACCTGGTTGGGATGTTTTGTGACAAGTCCAGATGCACCATTGTTATATCCTAGATATTCCTCTTAGCTCTAGGAAATCACCACAGTTTTTGCTGGAGCAGTAAAAGAGAAGTAAAATTTAAATCAAGTTTGAACTCAATTTGTACTTGGAGTACTAAATCTTTTCTCTTGAGGAAACAGTCCCAGCTTGAGACTTAGTTTCCAAAAGCTTCACTGGGCAAGCACAGGCTTGAGCTCACTTTTTTGCTGTCTTCTCTACCCCTTGACAGGCTTTCTCTGCCTGCGCCTTGGCTTCTCAATCTCTCGCCACTTAATTCTTATCACATGTCCTTGGGAGTAAAGCAACACAGATTGTTGGGCTCACCTCCGTGGGCTTCCTGTCTTTCTGCACCTTGGATCCGCATATCCTGGCTGCCTTAGAAGGTCTCCAGTGTCTTCAATATCTTACTTTGCTAGTTGTTCTTGGAAAGTTTCTTTGTATTGTTGTAAACCCCTTTATTATACAAAAGCAGTAGTTCCTAAGTTTATTTTCTTTGTATTAAAACTGTTTTTTTGAATAGCATATTATGCAACGTTCTGCGGCTTTATTCAGAATTAAAGGGTGTGATTAGCAAGTTTGGTGGTTAAGTCATGTGGATAAATGAAAGTACCAAGTTTCATTGGTTTTTCATTTGCCTTAGAGATATCAGTTCTTCCATTTTATAATTATATTTATTTTAGTGAAGGCAATATTTCAGTTATGTATTTCAACAAATTTTTATTATAGATAGTACAAAATTTTGTTTAAAATTACTGATATTTAATCCTTTTACTAACAGGGAAGTACAGTAGTAGAATGCACAGTGAAATCTAAATTCAAAAGAGCTGTATTGTTATAATCAATATGAAAAACAGTATAAAGAAAGGCTTTCACAAATGTCATAGTATGTCTCTTATTTTACACATACTTTCTCTTGACTAAGAAGCATCGTTTAAGTGTCTCTTTTTGGATAACTATGAGATAAATAAAACAGTGTATTAAAAATTATTCATCTGCTTGACATCTGTAGCTCAGTGGTTAGGACGCTGGTCATGTACACCAGGGATGCTGGGTTTGAACCCGGCCAGGGCCTGCTAAACAAACAAACAACAATAACAACAACAACAAAAATAGCTGGGCATTGTGGCGGGCACCTGTAGTCCCAGCCACTAGGGAGGCTGAGGCAAGAGAATCTTGTGGGCCCAAGAGTTTGAGGTTGCTGTGAGCTATGATGTCATACTCTACAGAGGGTGACAAAGTGAGACTCTGTCTCAAAAAAAAATTATTCACCTATGTTATAATTTATGAATAAACTCATAAACAGGACTAGACATCCAACTTCTACCATACTATCTAAAATCAAATTTTTTTTTGAGACAGTCTCACCATGTCACCCTGGGTAGAGTGCTCACAGCAACCTCAAACTATTGGGCTTAAGCGATTCTCTTGCCTTAGGCTCCCGCCACAACACCCGGCTATTTTTTGTTATAGTTGTTTTTTTTTTTATCTGGCCTGGGCTGGTTTGAACCCACCAGCCTAGGTGTATGTGGCTGGCGCCGAACCTATAAATCAGTTATTAACAGAAAAAAGAACCCCCAAATATGCCTTAACCAGAGTATCAGGTGACAAATCCAGAATTAACAAAAAAAGTACATTCTCTTCCTTATATCTTCATTTGCTTATTGTAATGAAAGACCTTTCCAGCTGGGGTAGTTTTACTACATATATTATGTTAGTAATAGAAATCCTATTGGTTAGTCAAGGGCCAACATTTGACTTTTTTCCTTCATTTTATTATGTGTTGTACCCATAAAAATGTACCTTAGAGACCTCCCACTATAGGAAGGTTAAATGACCAAGGTTCCCAGCTACTGTGCTCTGAAATCCGCTGTTGCTTTCTTTAGTGCTTAGGACTTGCCAAGGGCTGTACCTGAGAGGAGCAAGGATTCTAAATCTGCCCTGCCTGTCCTTGGGCGTCCTAGTGCTCCTTTGCTGGCTACCTGGCTCTAGCACTGCCTGATGGGCTTGCTGTACCATCCTTAGGTGGTGTAGCAATCCAGGATGAGTCCAGCTAACCTTCCCTCCCTCTCTCTTCCACTCAGGCCTGATCTGCACTGTGGTCCACCAGCTGTCTCCATCTTCCTCTGCTCCCTCCTCACTTTTGGTTATAGCAATTTCTCTTCCTGAAATTCTTCCATGTTCAACCCTGTCTTGGAATTTGTTTCTCAGAGATCCTACCTAGACTGACATTTTCCTACTAGGTCTATGAAAAGATACTATGATATAAAATTACTAAGGAGAGAGGATGTTTGCTATTAATTTTAATGACAACAGTATTCTGCGGGATTCTTAAATTTAGGAAAGTTAAAACTTCACATCATTGGGAACTATTCTTTCAGAATTGTTTTTCATATTAATTTATTGATAATCTCTTTGTATGTAAACTTTCAGAAGGACTTTGAATTGTTAACAGTAGTCAGACCAGGAGCTCAGGTTCTTAAAAAATGTTAATTTACTCAGGAGATTGGCTAGCTATGATATATTAAATAATTCATAAACCTTTAAGATATCTAAGGTTATTTAATGAGAAATTAAAAAGAAGTATTTCTGAGGTTGTGTTGAAAATATTTTGTTGAAAAGCAGAAAAATCAATACAATGGATAGTAGCAAATTTGTTTTTTGCAAAGGTTTGGTAATTCTTGCTTTCATTCTGTATGACTTATGTAAGAGTCCTTATTCTTTATGTGTTAGAGTTAAAATTTTTTTGTCTTTCTTTGCAGAATCATAGTGAAAGATTTGTTTTCATTGCAGAATGGTATGATCCAAATGCTTCACTTCTTCGACGTTATGAACTTTTATATTACCCAGGAGATGGATCTGTTGAAATGGTAAATAAATCTTGCTTTTCCTGAATGTTAGCAAAGGGGGTGATTAGGAGTTGGGAGCAGAATAGGATTGCCTTTTATATAATTACTTTCTAGAATACATTTATATATATATGAATGCTTTTTTGTTATTCATTATAATTCTAATCTAAGAAGATTACTTTGTGCCCTTTTTGTGCCTTTATTTTTAATGTCAAAAATAGGCAAATTTGGGAGGTGAGAAAACTGAAGTGGGATTTTTCATATTTTAGATTAAGCAATGATTGATCAATTTTTATAGATAAAGATTATGTTCATAAATAGGGTGGCCATAAAGTTCATGTGCAAATTGTATATCTGTATACAGATATACCTGTACATCACCATTATTACTGCAAGAAGTCAAATTGAAGAGGATTATACTGAAAGAATCTTATTTATTTGTGTTCTTTCATTGGCAACACTTTTAACAAATAGATCTATTTGTTGTTGGGATTTTGTATACACAAGAAAGCAGAAATTTGGGCGTATGACACTCTTTGGGATTGCATAGGCACTAATTTGCTGAAACAATTTGGCAACAAAAAATCTTTATATTCAGGATTTAAATATTACATTTCTAATAAGAAGTTTTATGTTAGATTTGTTTAATTGGATTAGATTAAGAAACAGATTAGATTAAGTAATATAAAAAATTATTGTTTGTATTTGTAGAAAAAAAGGACTGTAATGTAATCTATCTCTGGTAAGATAGAATTAAGGACTACTTCTACCTTATAATCAGACGACTATTCCTTATTGATTACTTTTTATTGATTATATTGTTTTTGGTTCTAGCATGATGTAAAGAATCATCGTACCTTTTTAAAGAGGACCAAATATGATAACTTGCACTTGGAAGATTTATATATAGGCAACAAAGTGAATGTCTTTTCTCGACAACTGGTGTTGGTTGACTATGGGGATCAATATACAGCTCGTCAACTGGGCAGTCGGAAAGAAAAGTAAGAGACCAATTACATAATCTTTTTTTCATTTGACTTTGGGCCTGAAGGCAGTCTGAATAAGAATGAAAAAATTTAACCATAGGAGAGTAGACAGAGAGTACTTGGAGAATGATTGTTCTCATTCTGTCTCTTTTCTCCCCAATTTTTTAATTGAAATATCATAATTGTACATGTCCTCATTCTGTCTTAATTCATTTATATTTCCTGTGACCCTTAGTTCATCTCTTCCCACACTGCAAGCACCTAGTCTGTATTAGCTGAATGAATTAATGAATACAATTTAAAATTTATTATCTACTCTTCCCTTTTCCCATGTCCTCCCTATTCTTCAATGAGGAAGAACCTTCGATCTAGTTGGCAAGGAAGTTTTTGTCTAGATTGTTTGTAACTAATGTTGTCTACTCTTGAGCATTAGTCATAGACATCTATGTCCAATAAATGTTGACTGATCAGTTGCAGAAAGACATTGTGAGTGTTGTTAAAAAAAAAAAAAAAGAAACTTATCTATCTTGTTCATAACTGTATCCCTAAAAACTACTATAGTGATACCTCCAGTAGTAAATTATTAACAGGGTGTGGCCAACAAAATTTTTTAAAGGAATGAATGAATGAGTTTACATCAGTGAAAATGTCTGGAGGAGGAGCTTCCCCCTGGCTGGCATTCCTGCTTTCTTCTCTCCCTCCCATCGCTAGTGGCTCTTCCTGTGAAGTAGAGAAGTACAGCTTGGTGCCCTCCCTGTGTGCCTCTCTTCTTGTATTGGTCAGAGCTACATTTGTCATTCTGACTTTTTCTTTTCCTCTGTTTCAATTTAAAAAATAAAAGAGAAAACAAGTTGAGGATGCAGCAGAAAATTATTCTATAGAAAACAAAGACTTTTGATCTGAACATCAATTTTTAGTATTATCAAAATGACGTTTTATTTTCAATCTCTGCCTTTATGACGTTCATCTTTCTGAGGATTAACTATATTTGAAATTAAATTTTAATTCCTTTGTCATCGTTCTTGGCTCTAATTTCTGTGGCTTACGTTTCGTGTGGTTGTAGGAAATATTTTGCATGTATAGAGGAACTGTTGCTGTAATTACAAAGAGGGATCATTGGTGGCTATGTATAAGATACATATGTATAAAAGCTGTATGTATGAAAATCTACAAACACTATCAGTACAACTATTTTTTGAGGTCTACTACCCAAATAACTAGCTCTTTGCCTAACATCTGAATCACCTCCATAGGATTATGACATCCCTCTCTGTGCCTTCTCTAGCCTTTCTTTAGAAGCCTTTTATAATTCTTGAGGTGATTTGGTGCTCAGTGTGGCATTAGTACACAGGTGGTGATGGCTGAGAATGGTAGTGAATGCCTCATAAAAAAGGAAGGATAAAGATTCCCAGGATAACTGTGAAATAGGAAAAAAAATTAGGATGTCAAATAAATAGAAATATTTTATTGTTATGAAATCTTATGGTAAAAGTGTATGGGATTAAGGTAACGCCAACCATACTTCTTTTTACTTATGATTAATAAATATGTTAATATATTTATTATCATTTATAAATATATAATAAAAAATGTAGATATATAGCTTTCATTTACGGAGCACATGCTGTGTGCCAGTTGTCACGATAGGCATTTACATAGACTTCGGTACAAGATCACTTCAAATTTCACGTAAACTATCAAAGTAAATGAATTAGGAAGTCAAAGTTAATAGTCTGACTCAATCAAAATAAAGTAACAGCAGTGACAATTATAATTTAAATGTTGTTGCTCTGACTTATCTGAAGCAAATGTTGCTAAATCTATTTTATCGGATGGGTAAGTAACTTGGTCATAGTCGTACAACTAGAAAAGTGAAAGGAAACGAGCAAATCCTGTTGTGTTTTCCTCTAAAATCTATTCTCTTCCTACTAAACTTCTCATTAATTATTCTGGCAAAAGCTACTGAATGGGACTGATTTTGAAACAGAAAGAGAAGAAGAATTCTATTATAATATGAGGACAAATTTGAAATATTGGGGCTTTATTAATATTGTTCCTAAAAATACATGCAGTGTTATCTATTTTGCTGTCATACATTGTTTCAATATTTTCTCTTTGATTATTTCCTAACTGCATATGGGTTAGTAAATCTAGCAACCCTTTAGATGATTTGAATAAACTTCCTTTGAATCAAACAGTTTTCGAAGATATATTATTTTATTTAAATGCCAAAAGGTAAGCATATGGAAATATATGTGTATATTTATCAGGGTCCCATAGAAACAACTCTGTGTAATATACTTAGTTGTAATTTAGTCTATTTCTCAGTTTTGTATAGTGTCAAAGAGAATTTATGAACTAACTACATAGTCCTTTCTGGAGTAAAGCCTGTATTCAGGGGAACTGGTAAACTTGATCCCCAGGGAGCCTATCAACTAATTGGGAGGTAGTTATCTAGATAATGTAATTTAGTTTAGCTCACAAGTTGGCCTCAACATTCCAATTCCCATTGACTGTAGAAGTCTGACTTTGAGTCACACTTCTATCCTCTCTTCTGTCCACTGTATTTTAGTTGAGACTTGTGCTTAGAAAGAGTTTACGAATACTTCTTCCTGGAGGCAGGGGAATTGGCCTAAATCATCTTTTGATTTTTTAATATAGCCCAATAAATTCAACTGTTTGTTTAGCCCAAACATAACTTATTCATAAGTTTTTTTTTTTCTTTAAGTAGTGAAATCATACTTTATTTTTATTTGTTTGCAGTTTTTGGCCAGGGCTGGGTTTGAACCCACCACCTCTGGTATATGGGGCCAGCGCCCTACTCCTTTGAGCCACAGGTGCTGCCCCATACATTATTTTTTAGATGTATATAGTTATGGATGAACATACAGTTTCTGAGATTAGAATTTGATTCATATGAACTATTTACATTTTTTATGTTTGAAAATTTGGAATGTCAGCAGACATCTATTGAAAGAAATTTTATTGAGAGAAAAATATTATAAAATCTTGACTATGATTTTAAAACAGGGTTCAGGTATTATATGCTTAAGCAGGATTGTAATATTGGGATATAAGTTACAAATGATTTAAAAGACATTACAATTAATAAATGCCAACTGGAATAAATGAAGTTTAGAATACTTCAGGGACTTTTCTTTTCTCCTCCCCGGGTTGCTTTGGCACTGCACCCCCAGGTTTTGTCTCTATCTCTCTGGCTATTTGTTCTCAGAAGCATTTTGACTTTAGTGTTCCCCAGAGTCTGGCATGTGGTCCTTTTTTCTCATTCTGTTCACTCTCCCAGAGGATTCTGTATACTCCCTTGACTTCCAACTATATGTCTCTTTCCAAATTTATATCATCAGTCCACTGCAAAACCATATGTTCAGCTTTAATCTGAGCTTTCCCACCTGGATTCCTCACAGGCACTTAAAAATAACAAATCTAAAGTTGGATTAATTTACTTTCATTGAAAACCTGTTGCTTTGTATTTACCAGCACCACGTTCACCTAATCATAGACTTCGAAAATTGGAAGCTCTCCCCAAGTTCATTTTTTGTGTATTCCTACATCCAGATGGAAACCTAATCTTAGCAATTTACTTCTTTCAAAAATCTCTCTTATTTCTCTATCCTTCATATCTCATGTACCTTAAGCTAGCTTCTAGTCATCTCTTAAGCTCAACTAGTCTCCATTCTCCTTTCCAAATTGTTAAACTGGTGGAGAGAACTGACACGGGACCCAGATGTGGATTAAAATAAAGTTTGTTATTTTTCTTTTTTTAGTTTATACCGTGTTTCTATCCTCCTACATTCTTTTTAAGGTGAGAACATTGGTGTTTCCTTTTCTTTATTTTTTTCTTGTATTCATTTTAATTTCAAAATATTACAGGGTACAAATGTTTTTAGTTCCATGGATTGGTTTTGCACTGCTTGAAGCAGGGCTATAAGTGTGCCCATTACCCAGATAATCTTCGTTGTACCCCTTAGGTGGGTTTTTACGCATCCTCCCCACTCCTCTCCCCTCTGCTTGATTTCCAGTGAGTTTTACTTCCCTCTGTATACATGTGTGCTCAGCAGGTATTGCCAATATAATAGCAAGTACATGTAGTATCTGTTTTTCCATTCTTTGGATACTTAGGAAAATGGTCTCCAGTTCCATCCAAATTGTTTCAAAAGACATTAGTTCATTCTTTTTTATGACTGAGTAGTATTCCCTGGTATACATATACCTCATTTTGTCAATCTACGCATAAATCGATGGGCACTTGGGTTGATTCCACATCTTCACAATTGTGAATTGTAGTACAATAAACATTTGCGTGCTGGTGTCTTTTTGTAAAATGATTTATTTTCCTGTGGGTAAATACCCAGTAGTAAAATTACTGGATTGAATGATAGGTCTATTTTTAGTTCTTTGAGGAATTTTCATATTGTTTTCCATAGAGGTTGTACTGTTTAATAATTCGCAATCCCAACATCAGCATATAAGCGCTCCCTTCACAGGATGCTGGCCAAAGTGTTAATTTTCCTTAGGCTCTGGTAAAAGCTATGTTTCTTCCTATTCCTACTTCTTTCATTCCACCCCTTACCTTCCCACTTTTGCTGATCTGGAACTTGGGGACAGATGGCTCTGTAGAGCGAGCCTGGAGAGCACACTTGCCAGGGTTCTCTGCCTGTGTCCTAGCCCATGGAACAGAGGGAAAAAGAGCACTAGAGACACAGGCTTCTGTGTGGGTGCTGGACTCTGACCCAGATGTGCTTCACATGTGGAAGCAGGAAAATAGTAACCTGTGCCCTCTTGAGGGCCTGCAGTCTGAGAAAAGAGGCAGGGCCTATATGACCAATAACTCTTAAATGTGGCCAGATGTTGAGGAGCAAATGGAGGGAATGGAGAAGGGGCGCCCTCTCCTAGGATTGGAGTAGAAGTCACTTTACTCCTGAGGAGCAAGGGTACACATTCCTGGTTGTTCTCTCTCTGTGTTTTATACCTTTAGGCCAGCTAGCCTGACAAGCTAAGTAGACTAAGTCTGCTTCTCAGGGGAGGAGACCAGCAAAATATTAGTTTGCTCTTGCTCTCATCTTTGGAAAACAAACCACCTCCTCAATACCAATTGTTACTGTTACTTTGTGTATTGTCCTGGGACCAATGGTAACCAGTTTAAATTTTGGTACCTTAACACATTAGAGGAAGACCTTGGTTCAGTTGCCAAGGCTTTGCTAAAGTACTTACCCCTCTGTCATTTTCTCATCTTTACTTATCTGTGGTCTCATTGTCCAAAATGGCTTACTATCAATTATATGATGCCCTCAATGACAGCATAAATGTGCCCCAATTTACGCATTGGAAAGTACCTTCCTATTATTAAATTCCCAGGGAGAAATTAAGGTTCTTTTTTCTATAAACAAAAATCAAATTCTGCCTTTCCAGTTTGTAATTCTCACTCAGATGGTTCTTGGTTACTTAACAGATGCGAGTTGAATTTCCTTTTTCAGCTCCTTTCAGAGCCATCTTTCCCTAAGAAGGGTTTGATTGATTATCTATTTGGAGTAATTAATGTCTCCTGCCATCTCTTTTTGCCTTGCCTTTTTATGCTTTAGATATGTATGTGTCTCATAAACAACAATAGTTCTTTTAAAAAATTTCAGTCTGAAAACCTCTAGATTTTCACTGGTGAGGTTTACATACTTACATATGCTGTAATTATTGGTATTATTGTACATATGTCTACTATTTTACTGTTCTTTCTGCTTTTCTATTTTTCTTGTCTCTTTAAAAATTGAGTGAGGTATTTTTCTTCTTTTTTCTTTCTGTAGTTTTCTATTGATGCCATAACAAATTACCATAAACTCACTCAGGCACTTAAACAATATAAAGTTATTATCTTTTTTTTTTT